GGAATCCTTGACTCCACGATGATCTAATTTGTGCATTTTATCATTCTTTTATTGTTACTGGAACGTTTACTAACTTGAGCGTCGGAGGGTTTTCTAACTCTTTTTTGCAGGGACGGTTCGAAGTGAAGAATTCTGGAAATCAGGGGGAACCAGCGATGGGTGGATTGTACCATCGCTGGGAGGGAAGTGTTATTTTTTTTCAGAACCCCTCTTCCTATCGATGGGTGCTTCTTCCCATCGATGGGTAATTGACTCTATTTTTTAAAAATACTTAATGAATTTCCAGAACACCTTAACCCATCGATGGGTATTTTATCCCATCGCTGGGTGAAGGTCTTTTATCAATTTTTTTTTTCAGAACCTCCCATCCCATCGATGGGAACATTCTCCCATCGCTGGGTGTTTGACACTTTTTTTTAAAGCATTTTATCAGATTTCCAGTAGCCACCTTCCCATCGATGGGTAAGTTCTACCATCGCTGGGAAGGCAGCCTTGTTCTCTCCTTCGCTTTCCAGTGTCACCCTTCCCATCGATGGGAACTCTTACCCATCGCTGGGAAGCCTACTGCAATTCAAAAAATTTTTGACCGTTGGGCAACGATTTTAATGCCCAACAGTCATATTTTTTGAACTTATTTCGGTTTCCACTCCTTCCCTATATATACACACCTTGTTTTATCATTCCTAATCACAAATTCACAACCCAAATTCAATCTCCTAATCAAATTTTATTATTTGTTCTTCATAAACACAATCATGGCCGGAGGAAAGAAGACAAAGGCTTCCAAGAAGAAGGGCAACGCCGAAGCTACGACCTCAGCGCCCCCGCTGTTCCCCTACCTCGATGGATCCTTCTTGGAGTTCGGGTCGGAGGAGGAACTCACCCGGTTTCTCACATACTTCGCCAAGCGCCCGATCTCTCCGCCCCGCGTGCTCCCGGAGCTGTACCCTCAACAAAAGGGGTACCACGACCTCGACAATCAACTCAAAGAGTCGGGTCTGTGGTCGTTCGTCTCCAGAAGCCGTCAATCCTACAATCCCGCCTACATCCGAGCTTTCTACTCAAATCTCCGCCGGGACGGGGACACCATTCCCAGTAGCATCAATCTCTACGACATAGAGATTGATTTGGCTACCTTCGCTCGGGTCGCAGGGCTGCCCACCCGCGGTGACGACATCGCAACATATGGCGGCGATGATTGGATCCTCAACAACGAGGCAGTGGTCATCCGAGAGCTGGGAATCACCAACCTCATCCGTCACAGTGGCACACCAACCACTCAGCCCCGCCGGAGAAGCGTCTTCTACTCTATATCCTCACCCGGATTCTTCGCCCCCGGGACGGTAGCCACACGTGCCTCTTCAACGAGGATCTCAAGGCCGTTCATGCTATCACCCATGGCGCCTCAATCAATTGGGCAAAATACGTCATGATTCACATGGCGGATTGCGCCTCCATCACCACCGAGCGGAGCTTGCCATACGCCTTCCTCGTCATGGACCTCATCGTCTCCGCCGACATCCACATCGCCGGGCCAAGCACGAAGATGACGAAGATTTGGATCATCCAAGATAGCACCTTCCGGAAGAAGTCCGAAGACCAAGACGGCGCAGGACCAAGTCGGGCTCCAGCCCCCGCACCCGCCAAGGCCTCCTTACAGTCCATAGCCGATACCCTGAATCGGCTAACCATCACCGTGGACGGCATGGGCCAATACTTGGAGCGGATGGATAGCACGCTGCAACGCCAACACCACGACATGAGGGCGTTCTTCCGCGGCATCAACTACGTCCCGCCGCCCTTTGACACCACCTTCCTCGGCCAGAACTATGAAGGCGAGGACAAGGAGGATAACTCCTATGCTCCGTCCTCCTCCCCCGACGAAGCCGACTTTGAGGACGCCGTCGACGGGGATCCCATGGACGTCGAGGACGACGAAGAAGACGATGACGCCGAGGACGAGGACGCCGATGCCTAGACTCTTCTTTTCTTTCCTTTTCCTACTATGATTGCACTTCTTTTACTTCCATTCCGTTGTATTCTGCATTTTCCCTCATTTTAATAAAAGTTCACTTTTAAATTCTAAAGTTTACTTTAATTCTTTTTGTTAATGTCAAAAGGGGGAAGATATCAAGGTTATGCATAAATTGAGGGGGAATTCTTTATGGCATCTTTTAAGGGGGAACATTTTTTAGTTTCAAAACAATCCTCATATGCATAACCTCATCTCGTTTGCCATTATCAAAAAGGGGGAAATTGTTGAAACACGGGCTTGTCACGTTACGTTTTCGTACTAAAGCCGTGTTCGTTTTTGTAACAGGTTTTGATAATGCCAAACCGCCGTGATCAAGACAAACATTGAATATACAAGGCGAAGAACGAAGATAAAGAACAAGAGCTAAAAGAGACCAAGAACGAAGACCGAAGCCTTTAGTATCGTTGAGTCGGTCATAATTGTAATCAAGACCGACCCAACCCTCACGCATTGGCTCTTTAGGCTAAAACCTTTCGCTGCACTTCTTACATCATAAAAATGTTTTTCAAACTTGTTTAAGTCATTAAAAACACTTGGTGTTCGCCCAAACCAAAAACCAAGCCATCCAGCGTTCAGGTTTCAGAAACCGGGGTTCGGCTTTCGGTTATCGGCTATGGTTTTTGGCGTCCGAACCAACTGAGTGGTTTTCAACTTTTTATGATTGGTTTTCACTCTTTGACATGATTAAACGGTTCTCCAACAAAAACACCTTGAAAACCATCTTTCGCTTTTGGTCATTTGACAAAAATCATTCAAAACGGCATAAACTTGGCTAGCCGTGGTTTTCACTCAAATGACGTGGTTTTTAAAGTGTCTTACGTGATTTCTTATCCAAATAAATCAAATAAGTGTTTTAAATACTTGGTTTTTATTTTGGAGAACTTTGAATTTTTCGGTCGGGTTTCGCATCGGTTGGCTAGGCCGTGGTTAAGGCAAAAACCATGGGTTCTTGACTAACCACCTACCCAGCGATGGGAAGATCTTCCCATCGATGGGTAAGCGGTCCCTAAGCCAAACCTACTTCCAGAACCATGCCAAACAGCGATGGGGAGTTCTACCCATCGCTGTTAAAGCCTTAGTGCAATATTAACACAAGGCAGAACGACCTTACCCAGCGAAGGTAAGGGTATACCATCGATGGGAAAGCTTGACCGTTGGTGGTCATTAAAGGTTGATTCTTTCCTTGTTTGGAAGTCAACCTCCCACCCAGCGATGGGAAGCTTGTACCCATCGATGGGTAGGTGACCGTTGACTTCAAAACTGAAGAAAAATTGGCTTACCAGCGATGGTTGAGTCTAAACATCAATGGGAAGCCAATATTCTGCAGATCCCAAATCTTTTCAATCCCATAAATCAAGCCAATCCCCCCTTTAATGCATTGGTCCGTTAGAGCCTTCTTTGGCACTATAAAAAGGGGTGTTTGGGTATGCTTTTCTCACCAATTCACTTCACAACATCTATACTTTCATTGCATTCAAATATCATCATTTTCCATAGCTTTCTAGAGCCATTTTTGTGTGAAGGTTAAGTTGTTCTTGAGCGTACTTAGTTTACTCATAATCTACTCTATAAGAGAGTCTCGTTCTTGAGTATACTTGTGTTCTTAGACACGTTGAGAGATAGTATCTCTCTCGGTTGATTCAAAGGAAGGTCTGTTTCCTTTGAAGGATTCGTTGAGGTTCGTGTGACTCGAACTCTCAAGTTGTAACGGTTTGTTAAGCACCCGTAAGCTTAACAAGTTAGTAGTGTAGCTCGAGAGAGTCTCTCGGGAGGCTGGATTAGCCACAAGTTGTGGTGAACCAGGGTAAAATTCGGTGTGCCTTTTACTCTTCTCTTTACTTCTCTCTTAATTTTTTAATTCCTGCGATTTCTCCGATCAAACGCTATTCACCCCCCCTCTAGCGTTGGTCTATTATTCTAACAATTGGTATCAGAGCCTAACTCGCGTCCAAACTTAACCGTTTGAGAGTAAAG